AAAAAATTAAAAAAATAAATTACTTTTTCTCATTAAAATTTCCTGAAGCAGGAAGAAGGACAAAGGACTAATTATATTCTTCAGCTGTATTTTGTGTGTTTGTATTCTCTCTTAAAACTGCTTGGTTTCTTTTCCTTTTGGGTTGATTTTCTTCATAAATTTTAACTTCTGAGTAGCGGTTATGAGAATTAGAAACTCTTCTAAGCTTTTGAAAAGCCATCCAATGCCTACTGTGCAGGAGGTTAGCTGACTTGATTAGATAATATTGTAGGGCTAATAAAATTATGATTATTTTTGTATATCATTAATCTTGGTTCAGATATCCCAAGTGAACATACATGGTCACAAAGGATTCTAGCTAGGAGAATATAATTGGATCAGAGGAAAAGGTGGGGGTGGAGGGAACCCTAATTAGAATAGACTTGGATACAACATAGAGGTGGATTTCTCCTTTTCCTGCTGAGTGTGTGATTTATAAAAGCATTTAGAGGTGCTGCAAAGTTGTTTTAAAGGTTGGCTTTCAAAATCATAATGTGTTGGCCACAAATGTCTCTGTATATGTAAGCTATAGGCAGAGATTCTAAATGCTGCCATATCTAGATATGTTCTAATAAGGAAACACAGAGACCATTTCTATTCAAGTATGTGATTATTAAAACAGATGAAAGCACCAGCTCTTCAGAAACCATCCATTCTGTGTTTCCTTCCGTGGTGAAATATTTTAATGTCATCGGTATTTTCTCTGTCTTGGATATTTACCCTTGTTTTGGTATCCATATATGATTGCTGGACTGAGGAGGTATTGGGTATAGTGACAGGTGCTTTGAGTTCTTTTAATAGGTTAATCACTGGTAGAGATACTGGTGCATCTTTTCCTTTATTTTTTAATTTTTAAATTTTAATTTGAGGGGTTGGTATTTAAAAAACAAAAAGATTGGGTACCTTTGCCAGAGTACTTAAGTATTTATCTTTTAGTGTTTCTAGATTTACATGGTATAAGTCTTAAAATCAAGGCCTTCAAATGTAAAAACTATCAACAAATGTTACTTTTAAAGGAATTTATTTTATCTAAACATTAGCTTTTTCTACACGTCCCTTAATGTAGATTGTAAATCACGAAAATTATAAAATTTTAAGGGTTAGTTGATACTCTTATCAAAATCAAGATCAAAGCATTACATTATAGCTCCCTTTAAACAGAGCATGTAATTTCATATCACACTGCCTACTCCTTAAACTATATTGACTATAATTACCTACAACCCATGTCTTAGAAGGTTTTTATGTACATTTACCACTAAAGCAGTAGTTCCTAAGATGTGGTGGTCCCCAGAACTGCCAAATCAGAAACTCTGGGGTGGAACCTAGCAATCTGTGTTTAACAAGCTCTCCATGTGATTCTGATGCACATTGAAAGCTGGAGAACCATTACACTAAAGCGTGGAATTCTTTTGTTTTTCCTGGGGAAAAAAATGAAATGTCAAATTAAAGTAAAACTGTTGCATTCCTCCCTAGAGAAAAGGCAGCTTATCATCCTTCCACATGCTACCAGCTTGTCTTTCCTTCTCTTCCTTCATTGGCTGAATATATTTTATTAGACCCAGTACATGGTTAGAGTGGCTTTAACCAGACCTCAGCATGGCATGACATCACATGAGATGTCAGCAGTCAGAGGGAACACGAGGCCTTCATTCCTGCCCCTGCTAACCCTGCCAAGCATGAGTGCTCAAGTGATTTTCAGTTTATATCAGCGGGTAGAGAATGTTCAGTAAAATCTGGTGGAGGCTAGTTGTCTCCTGAGACAAAATAACAGGATTGAAAATGGAAGCAACAACATAACTAGTGTTTATATGTTAGAGTAAGAGCTGGCATATTAAGTACTGAAATGAGATATTGAATATCAAGCAGGAAATTTATAATCAAATAGTAGTAAGCAATGATAGATAGAGGAGAGACTGCCTTAAAACTCAGGTTGGGGCCCAGTATGAGTTTGAGTAAGAAAAGAATCTTATTCTTCTGACTATATGGAATATTTTACTAATATTTGTTAAAGCTAAATTTCAAAGCAGTTTTACAAAGAAAAATGACTAACATACTTCCCACATTATTAACCTCTAAACCTTACAAAGCCCTGCTTTCCAGCCATATAAAACTTTTTACTCAACTCTCTATTGCCAACTTAATGGGAATTTTGGAATACCAAGTAGAGCAACAATAGCTTTTTCTTCAGTCATACGATGGCCTTTCATTACATTACTCATATCTAAATGCAGAATATAATAATACATATAATATGGTAGTACACCTGTTATCACAGACTCAGATATTCTTTTTCTAAAATTTTACTACAGCTTAAAAACTACAAGATAGAAAAATTTAGAATTACATGTGTATAAGTTGCAGTGAAGAAGAAATTTCCAGGCGCTCTTTGAAAATTTTATTGGAACCTACATAGAACTTTTTTTTTTTAGTCTGTGGAACTGCTGGCTCATATAGTTGGTTTAAGGACTATGAAAGGGTCTATGTGGGTAATATTTGCTTTTATTCTTAGTGATGATGTGGATTATAATATCATGTATACCTTACTTCATTTTCTGCAAGGTTTTGAAGCACCTGAGTTAATTTTAATAACCTAGGGATATTTGGCCAGGATTGTGTTTTTCTTTCTCAATGTATTTGAGTTTGGAAATAAAGTTTTTAGCAGTCAGTGATTACTCTAATATGATGTTTTCTTATTTCAAACAGCTAGTTAAAGGCCTTCAGCAAGAGCTGAATCGATTATATTCCCTTTTCTGTTCTCGGAATCCAGACTTTGAAGAAAAAGGGGGTAAGGTCTCAATAGTGTCCCATTCCTTGGGATGTGTGATCACTTACGACATAATGACTGGCTGGAATCCAGTTCGCCTCTATGAACAGTTGCTGCAGAAGGAAGAAGAGTTGCCTGATGAACGATGGATGAGCTACGAAGAGCGACATCTCCTTGATGAACTCTATATAACAAAACGACGGTAAAACACCCTAGTCTCTTAAGAGAATTTAAAATGACTGCATGGAATTACTGGACTTCTTAGGAGAAAACTTTAAGATTTTCATGATAAAGAAAAAATACATTGTTCGGGATACAAAGATTATTAGATAACATGCCTAGTCAAGCTAGAGACTATTAATTTTCACACTAATTACATGTGTTTTCCTACAGCATGAAATAAATTGTCTTGTCATCTTCCTCTTTTCCCTTCTGTCTTGTCTTCACAATTTATTTAGAGTGAAATGTAAAATTTATTCCAGGCTGAGTCACTGCATAAAATCCTTATTGAAAATGTTTGCCAGTGTGTAGTCCTTTGTAGTTTTACTAATCTTAGAGATGGGCTTTTACCTTTCTGATTATTCTGAAAATCATTTAAAGCCCTTTTTTCCTTGACAAATATATTTTTGACAGATTTTATAATTATCTGATCACTTGTGGCCTTCCTGATATTATCTTTTAATTCTTTGCTACATTCCTATCTTCATGTGTAGTTACATACTCTATCTTCTTTGTCCTCTTAGTGACCATCCAATCGATTCTAACAGAACATGAAGAGTTAGCATTTTGCTAACTAAGATTTTGAGAGTTAGCATTATATAAAAACAACCAATTTAGTTGACTAAAATTTTTACTCAGGAAGCCTAGGATTTATTTTGGTGTTATAGAATTTGTCTAACAATTTCATTTAGAACCTTATTAAGTGCAATAGGCTAGATACATAAATTCTATAGTGTCAAAATAATTGATAGTTTTGAAAGAAAATACGTTGGCAAGCCTTAGAGCAGCATTTTAGATATAAAATCCAGTAAAAAAATTTTTTAACAGGTTTATAAAATGAACTGCACCTATTTTTTTTTAACTTAGCTTCCTTGTTGATTAAATGTAAGTAAATACAGAACATTGTAATGGGAAAAAATTGAAATAACCCAAGTGTTCATCGGCAGAGAAGGTTAAATAAACTGTGGTTCATCCCTATGGTGGACAATTACACAGCTGTTATAGAGACTGAAGTAGATCAAGAGGCAATGAAATGAAAAGATCTCTAAGATTCATTGTGTAGAAAAAAGGACACAGAACTATATATGGTATAAACATCATGTTGATGATAAACATTTGATTTTTAAAGGTGTATATATGCTTGTATTTGCCTCATATTTTACTAAAGGATCCCCCCAAAAAGCTATTAAGAGCAGGTATTATGAAGAGTAGGGGTGCTTTTACTAATCATTTCATAAACTTTTATAGATTTTTCTGTGCTACAGCAGGTGCATTTATTAAATACTGTCCATAGGGATTAATTTGAGGGATTAGATAATGGGGCATCCTTTTCTTCTTTATACTTTAGTGAACTAGTGAGCATCTAGTATTTATGGGATTGTGAATATGAATGTGTACATAACCTCACTGCTTCCTAGGCTGAGAGAAATAGAAGAACGGCTCTGTGGACTGAAGGCATCATCTGTGACACAAATGCCTGCCTTAAAGTTTAAGGTGAGGAGAGACAGATGAGATTTTCATTATTCATCTCAGTTTTTTCTCAAACATCGTTTGAAGCATGACATTAGGATTCAAATGAAATCTTAATTATTGTTCTTTCAAATGAATATTTATTGAACACCTACTCTGTGTTGGACACTGCTGGTTTCTGGGTTCTACAAAGTGAAGAATGGTCAAGATGGGTCCCCGGCCCTCAGGATATGTAACAGTGTCATTGGTGCTGTTAGCAGTATGCAGAATGATACATGCATGAGAGGAGTTTTAATTTTGCCTGGGAAGGTTTACAAAGGAATGACATTTGTACTTGATCTCACTAAGTTGGATATTGCCAAGTGGAGGAAAGGAGACTGCTATTCTGCATAAAAGAAACAGCATCAACAAAGGCGTGAAGGGTATAACTACACCATACCTCCGAGAAACACCAGAAAACCTGAGTAGTGGGAAGAGAAAAATAGAGACAGATCTGGGAAATACTTAGTATTTAGAATTAACAGACTTAGTGACCAACTAGTTGTGGGTGGTAAGAAAAATCAGTGTAAGTATATCAGTGACGGTTCCAGGGATGGAAAGCGGGCATCTCCATCAGTGAGAGGTGTGTGACAGAAGCGCAAGAGACCGTGCACGTGGTGAGTGGAGCAGGACGAGCAAGCCAGGAATGTACAGAACTCAGAGCAAGGGGGCCGTGGGAGAGCAAGAGCTGGAAATAAAGAACTCGTATTTGCTAGAGGCAGTGGAAGCTTCTCAGGGTTTTTGAGCATCAGAATGGAGCCGTCAAAAGCAGTGGTTTAGAAGGAAGTGGCAGAAAGATGTCAACATTGACCTGGCTGTTGGAAAGAACACAGCCTATAGCTGAATAACAAATAATTTGTTTGCAGTGTTAAATGAAGTATAGCATAAGTTTCCTAATATTCATTTCTTATTGAATATATGCCCATGTCTAGTGTGCTATATTATAAATCTTGAAATCTGTTTCTTTATCACAGGAACTTAACATACAGGTTAAGTTGTGGAATGATGCAGAACTTTTTTTTAAACAGTTAAGAATTTTCTTGTTGAATCTATCTCCATGACTTATAAAGTTTTTTTTTTTAACCTATACATTTAAAAACCTTAACGTAAAGTTGTAATATACATTTGAAAACCATAAGAGCATATAGTCTTTGGGGTCATCCCCACCTGGAATTTGAGTTACATCTCTACCACCATTATTATATATAATCGGTGTTCAATATGTAGAATTGGTTTGGTAGAAAAAGTAAACTCTTCTATTCCATATCTTGAGTTTTTTACTGGAGAGTTGAGTATGATCCACTAAGTGTATTAGGATCTCCAAATTCAATATCACATTACTAGAACTTATGCACCATAATTGTGTATCCTTATAATACATAGTCATATGTAGTCTAATAATATGATTTTTAATTTTTTTAATTGTATTTAATTACTCATCGAGAAAAAATATAGAAATATGAAATTTAAAAAGGATTATCTCATGAATTGGCGAATTAATATTTAGGACTCCAGAGTTCTAAAAGAAATAGAAGTTTTTCTTGGCTTGTTAACCAGCAGATGGATTTACTTTTAGAATACAGGTGTTAGATTTGTTACAGGTGACTGTTGAACTTAAAAAAAAAAAGAAAAAAAACATTGATAGACGTTGGTCTGGAGAGTGGGAAACTTTGGTTCTCGTCATGAGGCTTTGCCACTGACTAGTCATGTAACGTTAGCCAAATCATTTAACATCTCTGAATTTATCTGTTTTTTCTTTTTTGAGGAAGATTGGCCCTGAGCTAACATCTGTTGCCAATCTTCCCCCCTTTTTTTTTCTTCCCAAAGCTCTCAGTACATAGTTGTATATCCTAGTTGTAGGTCCTTCTAGTTCTTCTATGTGGGACGCCGCTTCAGCGTGGCCTGATGAGCGGTGAGTAGGTCCACGCCCAGGATCCCAACCTGCGAACCCCGGGCTCCCGAAGCAGAACTGGCGAACTTAACCACTGCACCACCAGGCCAGCCCCTGAATTTATCTGTTTATTTGTCTCTGGACAAGGAGATTAGACTAAATATCTAAAGCTATTTTTCACCTTCAAAATTCTTTAATGGATGTAGATATCACTAAAGTAGTGATTATTCTTATCTGAGAGAGAATAACTCCTTTATGTGTTTGTCTGTCAGACTATAGACCAGTCATAAACAAAGAAAGAAAAGTTGTTAACTCCATGGATTTAACAAACATTTATGAAGTGCCTGACCGATGCATAAAGCATTTTACTAGGGTGTACGTGTGTGTTATGTCTGTATGTACGTGTACGTCAAGCCAAAAGGATTTACATAGCTTTCTCTTCTGTCTTAGCTATTTCTTGTATCTTTCTCTATACTTTATTCTTTCGCTTTACAGAAAAAGAAATGACCTTAATCAGAAATCAGTGTTTTCATCTGTCACTATTATTTCACATGCTTTTTTCTTATATTTAATTTTCCTTAATACAAGTTAATTTTCTTCAGCCTTCAAACATTTTGAAGTTACCCAGTCCTTCAAAAAAAAAAAGTTTCTCAAACTTTCTTTAACATAAAAGTACCATTTCAAAATGCTTATTCATTCATACATATTTTTTAATTTGGAAAAAGAACAATCACTCCAGTGGTCTTGTGGGGAAGGGATTAAAGGTGTTTTAATTGGAGGCAGGAACACTGTTACAGTGTAGTGCAGAGGAGCGGTGATGAGGTGGAGTGTTAGGATCTGTTGGAGCGGTGTCTCAGATGCTGGGGTGAGAAGGAAGGAGGGATTCGAGATGTCTCACTCATCAAGATGTGGAACATATGAGAGAGGGAGGGTGGGTTTAGGAGAGAGAGGTGTTACGTTCTGTATACAGTCCAGTGCTTTTGACACCCTGTTTTCCTGGAAGCCATCTCCTCTCTTGGCCTCCATGATACTGCTGTATCCTGGTTTCCTTTCTCCTTTCACTCTCCCTTTTGTAGTTTTGCCTCCCTCACCTGCTAATCCAATGTAGACATTCCTCATAGTTCTATCTAAATCCCTTTTTAATTCTATGCACTTACTAGGCAATCTTACCCATTCTCTTGATTTTACACAACACTTCTATGATGGTGACACACAGACTTGGATGATGACATATCCAATTCTATATCTCTTGCCCTAAATTTTCAGCTACCTGTTAGATATGTTACAGATACCTTAAACTTACTATCAACAAGAACGGGATTTACTTAGAGTTTCTGTTAACAATTAATGGAGCCACTGTCCCCCCTGTCAGCTAGAACCAAATCTTGTGAGTTGCCTCTGACTCACTCCTCATCCCCATCTCCATTCAATCAGGTTGATTCCACCCTATCCTCTCATATTTGGATTTCTGAATAGAACAGTTTGTCCTGCCCAGGTTCAAATTATCTTTTGCCTAAACTCTTTCAGTAGTTTCCTAACTTCTCTCTGAGCCACCAGCCTCTCAATTTTCAGCTTCATCCACAAGCTACTACCAGGTTTACTAGCCTCCTAAAACATGGGTCGAATCCTGTTCTCCTTCACTACCTATAAATTAAGTCCAGCTTGCATAGTCAAGCAGTCAAAGTTCTGTACATTCTCATTTCAAACTATATTTTCCCCACACCCAATTTTTCAGCCATATCAGACTACTAGTATTTTCTAAATTAAGCCAGGTTCTTTTTTTTTTTTTTTTTT